GCCCGGGGGGGGGTAGGCCGGCCCCAAGAAATGAGCGGTGGGGGGCCCCCTTGCGGGTGGCAATTTGGGACCCCTTGTAGGGGGCGTGGGCAACCCCCTACTTCGTTTTTGGTCCACGCCCTTTGAAAGCCCCGTCCTTGCTCCGCTCGCTCATGATCAGCTCGCTGCTGCTGAGCTCGGAGTTGGAGGGGAGCTGCGGCTGCGGCGGCTGCGGCGGCGGTGGCGGCGCATCCCTTGCTGCCAGGTCAGCGATGCCCTCTGGCGTGGCAGCGTAGACTCGCGCCCCCTCCTCCGCAGTGGCGTAGCGGCCGAGAATGACGGTGGTGCCCTCGCGGTGCACTTGGACACTGTAGGGCGTGGCACCGCCGTATATTTTGCTCACGTTCTTGAAGCCCGTGCTGCTCCGCTCGCTCCTGATAAGCTCGCTGCTGCTTAGCTCGGAGTTGGAGGGGAGCTGCGGCTGCGGCGGCGGTGGTGGCGCATCCCTTGCTGCCAGGTCAGCGATGCCCTCTGGCGTGGCAGCGTAGACTCGCGCCCCCTCCTCTGCCGTGGCGTAGCTGCCGAGAATGACGGTCTTGCCCTTGCGGGACACTTGGACACTGTAGGGCGTGGCACCGCTACTCGTTTTGCTCACGCACTTGAAGCCCGTCTTGCTCCGCTCGCTCCTGATCAGCTCGCTGCTGCTGAGCTCGGAGTTGAGCTGCGATTCTGCCCCCGGACCTGGCGCCGTCGCATCCGCCGGCTCCGCCACTGCCAACTCCGCACCCTTCTCCAGCCCGGCCGGCGGCGGCGGTGCTGCTTCTGTCGCCTCCGCCACCTCTGCGCCCCCCGCCCCCGCCCCGTCCGCACCTGGTGGCGCTGCGAGGCCGCAGATGCCGAGGTCCCACTTGATGATGACCGAGGTCCCCGCTTTGATCTTAGTGAAGCGGGACGTGTGCTCGCTGCACGCACACGGCATGGGCAGCTTGAGGACGGTCCCGGCGGGGTAGTCGGCAGGGAGCGTGAGGCGCAGCTTGGCGATCTGCGGCGCGTTCGCGTCCTCGCGGTCGTACGCACGCTCCCAAGGCAGGTCGCGCGGGAGCAGCACGAAATCTGCGGGCGGCATCGCGAATTTGGTCGGAGAGCTCCTGAGTGAGACCGCGGGTGACCGGCAAGTGCCGCGTGCGTTTTCTTTTTTGAGAGCGGCGTGTCGTAATCTGTCCAGCGTCCACCCATACCGCGTTGGTGTCCAGTCCGAGCCTGGCTGTTCTTCACCTTACTACCTACCTACCTACCTTCGTTGTTAATAATACAAGCCCAATGGCCCCTTTCAAGCGGTCCCCTGTCGCAGTCGCACACACGCACACGCCGCGCCGCACCGCGCGCCCGCCCGCTGCCCCGCCCAGGCGGGAAAGAGATGAGGAGATGGGACAGCAAAGGAGGAGGTACAAACACGTATGAGAGGGTTCAGTTGTGCGCCACGCTGCCCGGCGTTTCTCACTTTCCGGGACAGCCCCGCCCTTTTGAGGCAGGAAAGTGGCGGCTACCCCGTACGCCCTGCACGCTGCAGCCTGCTACCCCGACGCCGACCGCCCATCCCCCCCTCTTCGTTCCCCCCTCGAATTCTCCGACCCCGACAGGCCGCCCGACGTTGGGCCTCTGCCCCGCACGCCCCCGCCCCTTCTGCCCCTCGCTCTCACCCCGGCCCGACACGCACATACAAGACAAACCCGGCGTCCTGCTCTCAAAAGAAAAGAAAAAATGGGAAGGAGGAGACCAGCGGGGGGGACTCCCCGCCTATGCAACACCCCAGAGAGGGGCTGCCATCGCCGAAGCTGTGCCTAAGCTCCCGAGCTCCGGCGAGAGCAGCGCGACGACGGTGACGTGACGTACTATGATGTATCTTATTCCGGGGCCCGTGTGCGGGGAGCGAACCTTAGCGACCGCCCAGAAGCTTTCTGAGCGAACCAATCGGGCCAGGATCATCAGCATATGTCCCCTCCACAACATCGTGGGCGTTTGAGCGGTATTTGAGGAGCACCGCCACTCTGAAGTTCGGCCGGGTGGTCTGCAGACCCCCCCCCCCCGGAGCAGCAGAGGCTCCGTGGGGTCGAAACGTCGACGCTGGGAGTCGCAATCGTCAAACCGTCGCAACACCACGCGGTACGCACGTACCGCCCACATCCCCTCCACCGCTGAGAAGGCGCAGATCGACCGCCGGGCCGCGTAGCCGTCGTTAAGGAGCGGTTTTTGGAGCCGTACGAAGAGGTCCCAGACGGGCGAAGATGCGGTTTTTCGACGACCACACGCGATTTGGTATCTGGTTTTTGCTAAAAACGGGCCGCCTAGTGCAGCATCACTAGTACAACACGCAACTACACTGAGGGCTCCACACTGGCCGGTATAGGCGAGCACCGGCGGCCTCACGGTCGCCGGAGTGGACGCACTGCACACACACTGTGACCGTGTCGACGGTGTGACAGTGAGCTGACACAATCGTCGGCGCCGCGCTATCGCGGCGCCCCGCAGTCTACACACCTCAGGCGCACCCCTGAACGCGCCATGGGCGCGCAGATACACCGCAGCGCCGAGGAGAATCCACACCTGGCCGGTCCCGAGCCCCGTCCTGGGCCTCCAGGCGGCCGAAGATCGGCGTTCGGGCGGGATGAACTTGTCGCAAATGGAGCAAACTTGGCGCGGCTCGCCGCTCGCGGTACCGGGTGAGCCTGGATAGGGCAAAATCTGGGGTGAATACGAGGGACAGAGGTCGCATTTTTGTCGCGCAAGTTTGCGCGGTGTGGCGCTGCCCCGCTGCCGAGGGCGCCACCAACCCGTGGCGGCGGCATTTCCAGCCCAAATTGGGCGTTCCGTGCGCCTTGCCGGCGAGAGTGGACGGGCTGTGCATCGTGGGGGGGGGTGAGTGGGAGGGAGGTGGTCGTGTGCCTACTTTGTCGGCCGCGCGCGAGGAGAATTCTGGGTGTGAGGCGCGCAGGAGGCGAGGGTGGGCGCGCCGGCGGTCGAGCCGCCGAACAATTCGACGTGGCGCAGCTCCGTGCCGGCGGGGACGACCAAGCACATGATGTCGGCGGCGGTCGCGCGACGAGCGAGAGCCGCAGGGGCCCTCTGAGAGCCAGGCGCCGAAAAGCAGCGTGGGCGGCGGCCGCGATCAGCCACCTGTGGGCGGTCATCGGGGTCGCGGTCAAGCTCGCGACGGGGTGAATCTGGTGCTTCTAGTATCACTGGTGGGCTGGGTGTGCAGCAGCGGCGCTCAAAAAGAGGGAAAAAACTCGGCAACTGTTTGGAGTGTCTACTCTTTCGACGCACCGTCCTCGACCGCGCTGAAGAGCTGGCTGGTGGTCGCGCGCGGCGCGTCAGCGCCACTCCGACTGGTCGGGCACCTCGGCTGGGTCCATCGGCAAGAG